GGCTCTAGCAGGGAGAAGGATGAGATACAGTTCTCATGCATTGTGATCAGAGGTGACTTTTGAAATCACCCAAATGATATTTTAAGAAGACCTCATGTTTGCTTAAGGAAATTAATAAAATTCTAATCTTGTGAGAAGAGGGGTGTGGAAGATTCCCTTGGTCTTACCATTCCATATGCTGATAGCACTTGCAACTATTCTGAAGACTTCCGCTCAGGAAGGATTGTGTTTGACTTGTTTGTGAGACAAGTAAGAAAGGTGGGTAGTTAATGTCCTCACAGATAGCTGTCAACAAATGACAGTTAATATTTGGAGGATAAATACCTCAACTCCCTCATCTCAATAACACAGAGCATTGTCTACCCTGTCTTTCAGAAGACCCTAGTGAATGGATTCAGTTTACTATAGCTATAACCCACTTATTAATACTTTCTGCATTAATTTTTTCCTTTCTCTCACCTTATAGTCACTATAAACCAGTAGTGCTGCTTAGGATTACTTCTCATAAAATCTAGTTGTTCTAAAATCCTTGTTTTGAGTCTGCTTCCAGAGGAATCCAACCAATAGATTATTTATTCTCTCATTTCTAGGAACATTAATTTTCCTCCCTCCCATCAAGTTTCCCAGTGTACAAAGTCCTTTCTTTGAATTGACAGATTTGTGTGGTTTACTTAGAAATGCATGAGGCTTCCCAGAGATAGGAAGAGGTCAAGACGATCCCTCTTAGATTTGGAAACCCCTGGCAAAAGACAGAAAGATGACCTGTCTTTAGCAAACAGGCACCCTCATTACAGCTCATGATCTGAGCTTTCTGCTCAATGTCCAATCATGGCAGCAAGACATATTGCTCATCTTTAAACTTCTACTGGTTGTTTTAGATATAGCACAATTCAAGAGCGAATAGATGCAGCCCTCGGCAAGGGTTTGCAACCAAGAGTCCTAGCTGGGAGATCAAATCACCACTCTGTTCCTGAGGCACAGAGAGCAATGAATTTGTAATTATTTCCAATGGAGTCTAGACAGGTTATATCACGAGAATGAAGATAACTCCCCTGCCTGGACTATATGGATTTATTTCTGGGTATACCTCTGTCTAGTTGAAGTAGGACTTTCATTTAAATGTAAATGTGGGTTTTGAGTGTGCTCTTAAAGAAAGAAAAATACTGAAGTCAACATCCTGAGGGATGGTACTCAGGGTAGCTTGCGTGAACTAGAGGGGAGAAGGTACACAAGGGAAGCGCGGAGAAGATAAATAAAATGAAAAGAAAAAGATAATAGATAAGCTGAAATTAGGAAATAAAATGATTTAATTTAGGATGGGGAGACTGGAGAGACACAAGGGAAGGAGCTCAGGAACTGACTAGAACAGCATTATCTAATACAAACTCCTGTGATGAAGGTATTCTCTGTGGGGCCCCCCAAGTAAAATATGTCACAGAGCAACTGATGTTATTTTTTTTTTAAAGAAGTTTTTGCTATAGGGCATGTGTGCTCACTGGAAAGACAGAGAGGGACAGAGAGACAGAAAGCTAGAAATTGCTCCCTAGGGGGAATGGCCATACCACAATCCCTTCTCTTCTATTCTCCTCTTGGGATCTTGGGCACACACAGATATTGCTGATGCGAGTTTAAGCCGCCACATCCAACTATGTGGGAGTCCAGTGACATAACAATTATACTATCTGCTGGTCCTCTGACTGAGTTTTTAATGTCATTTAACTTTAACTAATTTAAACTTAAATAGCCGTCCCTGGCTAGAGGCCATATTGGACAATGTAGGTCTAAAAGCTTGCCAGGAAATGAGACTTTGAAACAGATCATGCATTCTGGGGTATTAGGCCTGGTAATTCTCCATCTAGGTAGAGGGGGGTGTAACAGAGTTAGTTGGAAGAAGAGCTTTTCAAGCAACACCCACACTCTTATGCTGACAAACACTGTCTCGCACCATGGGAGGAGGTGTCTCACCCAATCTGTAGTAAGTTGTCATCATCTCAGAAGGCATGTGTCCCTCAGGGATGTTGAAATAGCAAAAGATGTTGAGGACTCCTGGTTTGGTGAGTGGAAAAAAGGAAATTTTCTCACCCTGATTTATCCTGCAGGGTTTAAGGAAAAGTGATCTTATTTAGATTGGTCTGGTGGATTGTTAAAGATATATAAGGTATATTTTAGTTTTCTATAAGGCATGGGGAAGTCATATATGCTGTGTGCTCTATGCTCTAGATACCAGGTCTATATATGGAAAGGTTGGGAGGTGAGTCATTGACTCTGATCACATTTTCATGACTGGATATATATAAATATAATATATGCATCTGTAATGTTATATACATTCATTTCATTTATAAATCCAGGAGTTACCTTAGGAATGGCACAGTTTTATTTCATTTTTTTGTCACCATAATTTGGTAAATATAAACACTGAAATTATATCAAATGTCTGTGAAACTCAGCCTGCATTTCTTTGGTCTTGGCCTGACTCAGTTCATCTTGGCTGAGCTTGGTCATGTACTTGTGCTCAGCTTAGTGAGTCAACGGGAGCTGACTTTGTCATTCTGACTGGACATGGTTACATATCCAGGATGCATGCAGGGAACATTGGGCTGACTCTGCCCATGTTGCTCCTCATCATCCAGCAGGCTATCCTGGACTCATTCACATGGCTGAAGCCAGGGCCTCAAAGAGCTCTGAAGCTTACAATGCTTGTTGGGGCCTTAAAATTCCCACATGTTACTCCTGCCACACCTACTAGTCAAAGAAAGTTGTGTGTCCAGCTCAGATATTAGGAGTGGGAAAATAATTCTACCTCTTGATTGGAAAAGCAGCCAAGTCATGTTAGTAAAGGGAGTGCATACAAAGAAATAATGGTGAGAACTCCACACAAAGAAACTAAGCGGAGATCGTTCTGATAGGACTATGAGGTGATCTAGAGTAAATACCTGAGATTTCATAAGAAATTGACAATCATAAGGGGAAGAGATACCTTTGTATAGAAATGCAAATTTTAGGTGGGAAGGAAAACAAGCCTGTATGGCCAAAAAAAAAAAAAAAAAGAGAAAAACATAGATGCTGGACTGCTTGGCAGAATGTGTTTGTCTGTGTGTGTGTGTGTGTGTGTGTGTGTGTGTGTGCGGTGTTGGGGGCAGGGGGCTGTCAACTAGAAATAAACATAAAAAGAAACACACAAAGACATACAAGTATAGAAAAGTGAGGATCAGGTGGGCACAACTTCTCTGATGGAGAAAGCAATAGCCCCAAACTGACCTCAGGTTTATTCTTTTAAAGGACAGAAAATGGGGAAGGACAAAATGGAATACAAAGCTAGTTGTTTTGGATGTTAATTGTCTGAAGATGCAACGATGACTGGCACCATATAGTTTCTCTGATTTTGGGGGGCTAACTCTGATAAACATATATTCTTTTACCTGATACTGCTCTGCAGTATTGATAATAGCAGAGCTAGCTTGTTCATATGTTAATTGTTTGCATTGCCATGCAAATGACAACTCATGGAACCATGTTTCTTCATGTGTCTGAAGATCACCATGTTTGCTCAGAATAGCTGCTCTCCACACATTGCCATTGATCCTATGTTCTTTGGGCAAGCATATGTGAAAGGTATTCTTGATAACAGGGCGGGCTTAAGTTGATTCAACCTTCCTATCCCTTTTTTTTTTTTTTTGGAGAGATTTTTCACTGTAGGGCGCGTGCGCTCGCCAGACAGACAGAGAGAGACATAGAGACAGAAAGCGAGAAATCACCCCCCAGGGGGGGATGGTCACGCCGCAATCCCTTCTCCTCCATTCTCCTCTCGGGATCTTGGGCACGCACGCACACGCACCCGGCGTGACTTTTAAGCCACTGGGTCTGGGACACGAATCGCGGTCGACTACGTGGGAGTCCAGCGACATAGCCATTACGCTAACTGCTGGTTCCCCCTATCCCATTTTTGAGCATTGATATAAATTTGGATTTTCGTTAACATTGGCTATGGTCTGGGATTTCCCAAATAACATTGGCATAGAGGAAAAAATTGATGTATTTAGGAATTAAATTTTTCTATAATCTGAGAGAGTTCATTTTCCTCTTGTTTTTGCTACTTTTTTGTTGTAGTTGTTGCATTGTCATATCTATGTGATTTGCTTGTTTTTTATATTTTTAGCACATTGATACTATAGATAAATAAACCAGAGCATTATATTTTTAGTTTTAGTTTTAGTTTTAGTTTTTAGTTTTTTGCCATAGAGGACATGTGCTTGCCAGAGAGAGAGAGAGACAGAGAACAACAGAGTGAGGAAAAGTGAAAAATCACACTCCAGGGGGGAATGGCCATGTTGTAATCCCTTCTCTGGGCTTTTGGGCACACAAGCACACGCACATGATTTTCATACTGCTGAGTCCAGGACTCAAACTGTAGTTGAACATGTGAGAATCTAGTACCTTAACCACCATGCCAACTGCTGGTCCCAAACCAGAGCACTATTAATAAAGATGGATAGGTATAGTAGAGTAAGTTAATGGTGGCTGCAAAGTTGGAAAGAAGGTTTATGTTTAATTCTGTAAGAATGGAAGCTATGTGTGCTTAAAATACAAAATGTTCAACAGTCAGTGTCTGTAATACTGGGGACAATACAGTCCTTTAACTTCTGGTTTCCTTACCCAGCCACAGAATGGCAGTCCCTGGCTTGGTTGGCTCACATGCACTATCTCTTTAATTTCTTACAGAGAAAATATCTCTAAAGTGTGGAATTTTTTGAGTAAGGCAAAAATAAAAAAAAAAGAGAGAGAGAGAGACAGAGAACAACCTTGACTAATCTCCGGGTTTTGAATGACATCAACTGTACCTGGATTACTGGGGAAATGGCAGAACCATTTCCTCAGCAGGTTTTTAGGGAATTTGTTTAGACAGATCCAGGAAATATAATTTGATAACTCAGGATTTATCTCACCTTCCACTGTCAAACTGGAATCTTTTCTAGACTGAGAAGTGCAGTCAAGAATTGCAGTGTGAGTTAAAGCATACAACTGCCTTGGAAATAAGTTCTCATTTCTCACTGGTTACTGGCGAGCAGACAACTCTAAGCAAAAAGAGGTATGAGGGCAGAGGTACCCCCTTTGCAAGCTCTCCCATATTATCTTTGGGATCTGAGTTTATACTGGGTGATCCTTTTCCTCTGATAAAGTCTATAAAACTCTTTTGTTTCCATGTCAGCCAGACCTTTGCTTTTAAGTGTGACCTGTGAACCAGAAGCATCAGCATCACCTGGGAGCTTATTAGAAATGTAGATTTTTACACCTCACCTCAGACTTCCTCTGCAGAATCTGCCTTTAAACAAGATGCTCCAGTGATGACCAAGCACATTAAAGTTTGAAAAGCCCTGGTCTTGAGAAATTGTTTTGTTTAGATAGTTGGAGACAGAGTGCTTCTAGGTAGGATTTGAGTCTCAGTTCTCATCAGCCATTGTTTCGTAACTTTGAATACCTTTCTTTGTCCCAGACACTGTGCTAGGCAGTGGCTTCCTTAGCAAGCAAAAAACAGCCCTTCCTTTCAGAAAAGGTAAACAGCTCATTGGAAATCAGTGTGATGAGTTCTATACAAGTAAAAGTTAAATGCTATGGGGACACAGGTAAGAAGTTTGCAACCCAGTCTTAAGATCAGAGATATCTTCCCAACAGAGACATTTAGGTTGAGACCTGTGTGTGGACCATCTTTTTGGTTAAGTAATATGGCGGGGATGGCAAAGGGAGGTGGTGCACATTCAGCAAAGAGATTGGAACTGAAGCCACATCAATAGAGTTGAGGAAAGATAGGAAGTGAAGAAATAGAAAGCACCTATAGTCAAGCCATTCTAAATGTCTGGTTCTGGGAACTAACTGGAGATAAAATGAAAGTGAGAGAATTTATTTTCAATTGGAAGAATTATGAATATGTTATAAATACTGACAGAGTGCAGTAGGGGATAAATGAATGGAGGAGACCCCTGGAGGTAGACAGAGGAGAGATCCAGAGCCCAGGGGATTATGACTGATCCCAGGCAGGAGAACGTCTTCATTTGAACTAAGAGGGAGGAGAAGAGGTTGGAGCAGATGCCGGTATGTTTGTAACTTCAGTAGCAGGAAGTCAAAGGGCCTCTCTGTGACTCGATAGTAACTTTCCCTAGAGTGACATCTGCTCCTTAGCTGGATGGGGAAGTATGTGAAGAAAAAGGGTACTTTAAAGTGAGAAAATGGAGAAATCAAGAATCTGAAGTTGACATAGAAGCCTCTGAGCAACACATTTCTTCCTATGAAACCTGCCAGTTCTGCTGGCCTACGCGAGTTAATGTGTCAATGGCCCATTACCAATTTAATGTGTGATCCCTTACAAAGGTATTTCTAAATAAGATCCCCCCCACTTTTTTTTTCAGAAGAGGAACATAAGAGGGATGTTTTGGAATAAAATATTTTTCTCGTATCAGAATGAAGGCAATTAGACCACTGTGCTTTCTTCCTTTGTAGGAGAGCATTCATTTTGCCTATGCTTCCTGGAACCAATAAACCAGCATCAAGGAAGTCTCTGTGGGGCCCCACGCTATCCACAGAAATCTCTCTTCTGTTCTCCATAAGTGATGTTTACATGGAAAAAGCTGGCCACAGTATTGGGAGTGTCACAATAGTATGGCCTGAGTCCAATGTGGGGTAGAATGGTTCATGTCCTTGCATCTAGGCCTTCATGGTGTGCACCATTCGTAGCCCTTCCTTGGTGTCTGTGCCATTTCCTCATGACATTCACTTCTCATGCTATATAGTAAAGCCGGTTACATACAGCCTTGCCCTCTGACTCAATGGCAAGTTCCTAAGGACAGGATCACGTCTCCCCATTGTTATGGTGCCTGTAGTGAGGTCATAGGACGTTTTTTGGAATATACACTCCATAAATAGTTGTTGACATAAACAGAATGGCTTGTCCCCAACTGTTGGCCAGGAAATATGGTTTTCTGATCCCTGACTGGGAATAGAATGGTTTTCAGAATATCATTCTCTCTACCCTAACTCACCCCCTATCCTGCTTTCTCCTCAAGTCTTAGAGAGCCCGTGGAAAGGGGTAGTGGTGTCCACACTTGTTTATCTACTCTAAAGCATGAAGTTACTTTGTGGTTATAAGGAATTAACTTTGCCATTGTTTTTCCTGGAATTGGTGACAAGAAGACTGTTATGAGCTCTCGTTGCTGCTCCGGGATTTCCTCTGTGATTGATGGTGTGGTTACTTTTCCTGTCACTATCAGATATTGCTCAGCCTTTTGCTGTGGGAATTATTGGAGTAGGAGGGATAAGGAAGGGCATGACTGAAGCCATTTGGATTCATCAACCTGGTTTGCCAGCAGAAAACTGGTCAGGTTTCATGACTATGCCTCCATAGTTATCACACATTCCCACCCCTATCACGCCTACTGGGTTAGGGTAGGATGTGGGTGAGCACAGGGAGCCACAGGGACAAGCCACACTGCAGTGTTGGCTGATCGGTGACAATGAACCTCCACTTGGGGAAAAGACTGACTACAGAAAATGCAATTACCCTTTGAATCCACCTGTTCTATGAATGTGTGTAAGATCATGAAGGACTGAACTGGTTTGCCTTTGTGATAGCTATGAAGGAAAGGTTTGCTAACAGAACAAACGGATTAAACAAAAATGCAAGTGGCATGTTCAGACATCTTAAAGGGTCATTTTTCAAGCCCTCTGGCGACAGCTGTATGTAAACCCACCATGAGTTAGAATATTTATTGAAGCAGTTGTTTTGCAATTTTTGATTTTAGGCAGAGAATGCATTCCTCATTCTTCCCTTTCTTCCTTCCTTCTTTCCCCCTCCTTCCTCCTCCCTTCCTGTAAGTTTTAAGCACAACGCTAACAGTCGTAGCCAAAGAAAGGGACATTCTTTAAGGCAGGTTGGGGATGAGACACTGCAGACATGGCTGGCCTTTTACCACTTTCTTCTACTTTCAGTGTGAGCCCCTCAAACCTCCACAGAGACCTGGGATATCTTCCAGCTTAAGCGCCACCAACTTGGTAGGTAAGACCTCTAATTGGAACTGTTTGATAGCTGCTAAAGGTACTGTGCATAGTTTACAGAAACAAGATTGTTTCTAAACCAGACACTCTCTAACCATGGATGTTCATTCACCAGAGACTTGTTCTCATTGAAATATCCCTTTCGATTGGCCCAAACAATTGTTTGGAGCTCTTTAAGTAGAACAGGTATGGAAAGGTTGAGGGAGATAATAATAATTGGGCTATAGGTGATCTCACAAAGTGAAGAAGAGAGGTTAGCTGGGACAGTGATCATGTCAGGAAAGGAGGCAGGAAGAGACTATGAGGACATGGAGCCAAGGGGTGTGAGACGGTTATTCTCAGGAGTCACCATGAGTATGTTCTCAAATGCACTCAGCCAACCAGGGGTGCAGAGCAATGGTGCCAGGAATGGCAGCTGCCAGGATGCCTGTGCCATGTACTCCTGCAGGCTATTCCAGATGGGATTGGGCCAAGGGTGGAGACTGGAATCAGTGGGGAAGTGCCTCCAGCCAAGGAGCTACAGCCAGGCTTGTATCAGCCTCTACTAGAACACCAGACAGCAAAGAAAAGGGTCTGGTCACTCGGATCCTGGTTTAAGGATCATAAAGGCCACTGCAGGGTGAAGTGTCACCAGAATTCTCAAGAACCTCCCTGTTTCCAAAGTTCTCTGACCCTCTGAAGACTGCTGACCCTTCCATCCTCATGTCTCCTGTGGCCACCATGATATACCACTGATATCCCCCTGGGAAACTAGTAGGCCAAGCAGTAAGGACACTCAGGGGTTTAGCACACTCTTCTAATCTCTGTGGTTTAATGCGTCCTCCCCCTCCAGAGAGGGACATGTGGCATATTTACTCTGTTTTCCAAGGAAATGTGTTCGGTTATTTAATATGTTTGAGGATGAATGGAGGAGAGGGTAAGAAGGGAGACAGGAGGATGGGTGGAGGTCACAGACTTAGTAATTCTAGTTTTTAAGCAATAAGCAGCCATGTGGCCCTTGCTGCCTGGTCCTGCTCGCCCTGCTGCTGTGAATAACTCCAGCCCCACTGAAGCAGGCCAGCAGTGTGATTCAGGATTCCCTCGCTAGGAAACTGCAACTCTTAGAGCACTTTCTTGCCATTCGTTTGGAACCATATTCTGATTCTGTCTTCTTTCTTCCTTGTGTTTTTTAGCGTGTTCCTCTATCCCCTGAATTTCCTGCAGATTGGTAGTTGGACTTCAATGCTTGATCAAGTCCAGATTTAACTACTTCTGAGAACACTTCCTAGGGAATATCTTTACCTACTTCCGGTTGCACCATGAGGACATACCTAATGCTCACAGCCACTTCTTAGTTCACGTCCTTATTAAATGCATGCTGTCATCATTTTTCCTAGTTAGTGTCATTTTCTTTGTTTTTTAATTTTTTTTTAATTTGCTAGAGGGGTGCATGTGCTTGCTAGAGAAAGACAGAGAGAGAGAGAGAGAGAGAAAGTGAGAAAGCACTTTACACAAGGGATGGCCACACTGCAATCCTTTCTCCTGCATTTCTCCTTTGGGGACTTTTGGCATGCACATGTATGAACCCAGCCTGTTTTGCAAGTCCCTGAGTCAAATTGCACTGTCGTCTATGTAAGATCCAGCCGCCTTAACTACCACATTCCCGGCTGACCCAGTGTCTTTTTCTTGAATTACATTCTGGTCCTACTTACATGCTCTTATCATTGACTACATTTTAGCACAGAGCTGTCATGAACTGCTGGGTGCTCCTAGCAGCTGACCCATCTTGGAGATCAACAATACAACACAAGAGTATATTCCTGAAGCTCCTTTCATTGTCTCTACTTCTCATTATACCTGATAAGTGGTTTTAACCTCTCGAGCAGAGATGATGTTCTGCTTGGAATGAAATAGCGCATGACATTGGAGCAGGCACTTGAGTTCTACACTAACCCTCTGAGTTCCAGGAAGTCAGGCCTATTCTCATAAACAAAGCATGTAAGTTATTGATACTGAAAAACAATCTTTAGTTTGCATGTATTGGTCATCATTTTTCCTAGTTAGTGTCATTTTCTTTGTTTTTTAATTTTTTTTTAATTTGCTAGAGGGGTGCATGTGCTTGCTAGAGAAAGACAGAGAGAGAGAGAGAGAGAGAGAGAGAAAGTGAGAAAGCACCTTACACAAGGGATGGCCACACTGCAATCCTTTCTCCTGCATTTCTCCTTTGGGGACTTTTGGCATGCACATGTATGAACCCAGCCTGTTTTGCAAGTCCCTGAGTCAAATTGCACTGTCGTCTATGTAAGATCCAGCCGCCTTAACTACCACATTCCCGGCTGACCCAGTGTCTTTTTCTTGAATTACATTCTGGTCCTACTTACATGCTCTTATCATTGACTACATTTTAGCACAGAGCTGTCATGAACTGCTGGGTGCTCCTAGCAGCTGACCCATCTTGGAGATCAACAATACAACACAAGAGTATATTCCTGAAGCTCCTTTCATTGTCTCTACTTCTCATTATACCTGATAAGTGGTTTTAACCTCTCGAGCAGAGATGATGTTCTGCTTGGAATGAAATAGCGCATGACATTGGAGCAGGTACTTGAGTTCTACACTAACCCTCTGAGTTCCAGGAAGTCAGGCCTATTCTCATAAACAAAGCATGTAAGTTATTGATACTGAAAAACAATCTTTAGTTTGCATGTATTGGTTAACAAAGATTTCCTAGCTACGAGTTTTTATAAAGTGATTAACAAAACATTCCCAGCTGTAATAATAATGATTGTCTTGGAACTCCCAACTGAAGTTTTAGGAGCTACATCCAAAAATGTATCCCATCCTCCCAAGACATTCCATTGGTGAAATTGAGGCAGGGCCTTGAAGGCTGTTTCATTCACGAAGTGTGATCCTTCTGCAAGGAAAAAGAACAAGGCAATTGCAAGCTTAGCCCTAGGCACTGGTTTCTTTTCTTTCTTCCTGTCCAGGAGCCAGGAGGATCATTTTCCTTGGCTAGAGAAAATTAAGCCAACCCCTCAAATTAAATGGATGCAGTTCTCACAATCAGGAACTTAGACTCCACATGTAGACTCAAATAATCTATTGTACAGATCTGTCTTATGGAAAAAGGATCCTTCACAGAGGAGAAGGGGTTAGTCTTTTCTGGGTGCAATTTTGAGTTTTATGAAGATTCCCTTGGGAATCTGGAGGGAATGAGGTTATCAGGTACTGAAAGGGGATGCTTGCCAGTCACACCCAAGTCAGATCATCTTTGTAGAAGAAACTGGTGGTGTTTACTGTACCCATAGACACATGCCTGATTTGAGCCCTGAATTTTGCTTTGGTTGGATATATTCTTATGGCCGCATGGGGAGTTGAACCCAGAACAAGCTTCTGGAGGAAGGCCACAATTGTCACAATCAGCTGATTAATCCTCAAGCGGGTTTTCAAAGCCCTGCCCTGAGTACTAGGGCAGGTCATCTTGGCCTCACGGTTTTTCCACTACTATTCCAGGGATAACAGCCATCTACTTTGGAGGAAGAAAATGATTGGAAAAGCAAAGTGAGAGTGTTTACCAACACATTACTCAAAATTCCCTGAGCCCTGGGGCTCTGGTCCACTCTGGAGAAAAGTTCTGTTTACCTTTCCATGCTGGGAAAACACTCAGCCCTCATGCCAGCTCTCCACCTTCCAGACTGAGTCAAACTGCGGAGGTGGGAAATTGCTAGGGAAGCCAGCTTTGCAACAGTGAACAAATGTCTTTGTGAGCGAGGGAGGCTGCCCCGTGCAGCGGCTAATGGGGCTGCTTAGTGGAATTTTTCTCCCTTTTTAACCAGATTGAGGCTCAGCTCCTTTCTGGCAGGCAGACGGGCTCACTCTTCCAAGTACGCAGGAAAGTTCTGTTTTGACAAGCGCACACATTCTTTTTTAGAAAGCCACAGAGGCAGACGTCTTTGTTGCAGACAGACCAACTCCCTTCCAGCCCGGGAGGTGAAAACCCTTTCATGAGCCACATAATGGAAGCAGCAGTCGCTGCTGCTTATGCAGTCCCCTGAAAAGTACATAACTTCCATTATGCGGCTTCCACACACGGAATGTACTTCCCCCTGGCAAATCCAAACGCTGGCAGGCCTGTTTGTCCGGCACTAGGACTGGCAAGGAGCAGGAGGTTGGCAGGACTCATGAGGCATTTTTCTGTCGGGCTTTGGTTTCCTGGCCAGTTGAACTCAGGCCAATTATTGTCCCAGTGTTCTGCCAGATAAAACAAGGAGAGAACTTTTTCTAGATGCCTGGCCTTGTGACTAAGAGATGGGGGGAGGGAAGGCGTATGCTGAATGGGGGGTGGGGCACTCAAGTCCTAGCCAAAGCCACACTTGGGAGTCCCTTTCCCAAGCAAGGGCTCTGTCTCTGTCCCCGAGAATGCACAGCAGCCTCAGGGACCTTGCCCTTCAAGCGAATGCCTGGTCCTCAGGCCGTTCTCACCCTGGCACAGGGCCTGATCTGAGCATCTTCTGTGACCTGAAGTCCAACTCCCCACAGTTCACATCCTCAGCAGACGAATCCCATTTGCAATACACAGTATTCTGAACAGAACTGGCCCTACTCAGCAGCAGTCTAGAATGCTGCTCCCTTGACATGACGTTAAGACTACTGTAAGATGCGACCAGCACATGGCGAAATGGTTATGTTGCTGGACTCTCACATGGTCAACTGTGGTTCTAGACCTGGAGCCGGTGACTTAAAAATAACGTTGGGAGCATGTATGTGCATGCTCAAAACCCTGAGATGAGGGACCAGCAGTTACCATAATGGCTATGTCGCTGGACTCCCATGTAGTCAACCACGGTTCGCGTAAGGGACCCAGTGGCTTAAAACTCACGCCGGGCACATGCGTGTACGTGCCCAAGATCCCGAGAGGAGAATGGAGGAGAAGGGATTGCGGCGTGGCCATCCCCCCTGGGTGGTGATTTCTCGCTTTCTATCTCTCTGTCTCTTTCTGTCTCTCTGGTGAGCACACATGCCCTATAGCAAAAACCTCTCCAAAAAACAAAAATCCTGAGATGAGACTGGAGGAGAAGAGAATGCAGTGTGACCATGCCCTCTTGGGAGTGGTTTCTCCCTTTCTGTCTCTCTGTCTCTCTGGAGAGTGCATGCATCCTATAACAACAACTAAAAAAATAATACTGTAAGATATGGCTTCCTCCCACCATATCTCCCTGAATTGCCCTTCCGCTGTGCTTCCTACTGTTGAAACCACTAATTAGGAGACTTAAGTGTTGTCTTCAGAAAGTTCTATTTAAATGCAAGTTTTGATTAAAATGCATAAATACACTTAAGCATATTATAAAATATATGTAAGCTTAACCCTTAGAGGTCTAGTGGTCACTCACCATTCCTCTTTGCTAAGGAATGGCTTCATCCTTTTAGACAAGAGACCCAGAAGATAAACTATCTGGTCTGGGACCTCCTCTTCTCATTTTGCCCTGGTTTCATCTTTATCTCATTTCCCTTAACAGTCTGTGAAGAGCCTCTTCCTAAGTAAGTCTTAAACAAATCCATCTTGTGTTGGAGCTGGGGTACTAAATGAGGAGTTATTCAATGTCCAGCTTTTAAAGTATGGAGACTCTGTATCCGTTATAATTCAGCAACTCTACCTCAGCCACTCTGTCATTTAGTACCTAAGTGCTATTGCATAGATCTGCAAAATGTTGACATTTCAGGAGGAGTTCATTTTTCCTGGAATATAAGCACTCTTTGGTTTTGCTTCTTGCAAAAATGTCTTCAAAGGCCTCCTAAAAAAATGCCTGTATTCAGCCCTACAGAGGTGGGTGGAGTGAGGGCATTAGGCCTTCCTCATTTAGGACAAGAGATGTCATCCCAGCTGCCGATTACAAAAGGTTCTGGTTCCTTAGGCCCTACCACTGTGGTCACCTTAGGTCTCCCACCGTCAGACACTCCTCTGGTTCTAACAATTTTTCTCTGACAACAAATCGTGGTTTTGCTGATACTCAGTGTTTCGTTGTTTTAATTTCATTCAATCTAGCTCTTGTTTTCTTCTAGTTTTCGTCCATTCTCTGTCGCCTAATAACTGAGAACCTGAAGCGAGGGGATTTATTTAGCTCGTAGTTGCAGAGATACAAGGCCAAAAGCTTGCATTTGGTGAAGGTCTTCTTGAAGGTAAATAACACAGCAGAGGACCTCACAGAGCAAGAGCAGACTGTGTGTCTGTGTGTCTGTGTGTCTGTGTGTCTGCTCTTCTAATAAAGCTACTAGGAACCAGTTGTGGGGGCCCCACTCTGATGATTTCATCCAATCCCAATCACCCCCCCAAAGACCTCG